TATTTTGTTCTAAATAGAAATTTGAACATGTATTTTACGTGGTGTTTAGTTTTCCTTGCGGCACGAAACGATTTTCCTTTTCCATTCTTACATGTAATTGTATTCTATGTTGGTAAAATTGTTGAGTGCTTATGTCGTTCTGTGGTTGGACTACTCGACTACGCCAACATGGTGCCAACATCTTGCAAAGCCACATAAACCGAAAACCTCTCTGAAGAAGTCAGTTTGTTTTCTCTTCTTTTGATCGACTTATGAAACATGCTATTGCGTGAAGCGTCCTTTGAAATCCTATCTGCTACTTATTTAGTCTCGTCGCTGCCATCGTTTGGTGTCGTCACGCAACTCGCATTCTCCGGAAGATAGGGTCAGAGAACGCGTTGCGTGACGAGACTAAACAACGGCTGAGTAGGAGACGACTACTTCCCAAGACGATGCTAGTTAAAGGTACCTTTCCTGACAAGGCCCTCCGCAACTTTTTCTGTTTATTACTTTTATTAGTGAGCCCATAGTAATTGTCGTTTGCAGTTTTCGTCGTGCGGATTTGATGTCAACAAATGCGTAACATGGTTGCATGTTTGACTGTTTCAGCTGTACTAAATAATAGACTGATTTAGTAAGAGGACGGGAATTCCCCTTCAGAACGGGAAAGCGCGCGGATAGTCTGGACACGACTCTATTTCGACTTCCGGTGTTGGCGTTGCCGTTCTCCCCAAGCTCAGCAGTTAATATCAATTTACTCCTATTTTTTTCTGTTCGACAGGTATTGTGGGAAAGTGGCATTTAGGACTCCACAAGTCGTCAGGATCCGATTTCCATTTCCACCCTTTGAAGCAAGGTTTTGATTATTTCTATGGGCTGCCTCTCACTAACTTACGAACCTGTGAACCCGGCCAATATCTCATAAACATTGTTTACCCAGCCCTGAAACCGTTCAATGTTCTTGCTTCTGGGGTAGTCATTGGAGTAACATTGTACATCCTGTACCTGGCTGGTGTGCTTAACAAGATTACCTTCCTGTCCTTGCTTACCCTCGTTATTTTGATCTCCTCTGCACAGGCCGGTTGGCTTTTAATACTCTCCAGATTAACGTGCATTGTTTTGAAAGACTATGAACTTGTAGAGCAACCTGTCCTTTTAGAAAACTTGACAGCAAGGTTTACAGATGAAGCAGTAGGTTTTATCCACAGAAACAAAGACAGTCCTTTTCTCCTGTACATGTCGTTTGCCAAAGTTCACACCGCTTTGTTTACTACTAAGCCGTTTGTCAATCACAGTGTTCATGGTCGTTATGGTGACAATGTAGAGGAAATGGATTGGGGCGTGGGTCAGATCATGGCTGCTGTGGAGGAACTGGGACTGAGAAAGAACACGTTTGTGTATTTCACATCAGACAATGGTCCGTACATTGAAGAAGTTAGTGATACTGGTGAATACCATGGTGGATGGAGCGGAATCTACAAGGGAGGTAGGAGATTGTCATTAATTTCTTGAAACTAGGACAGGATTATACGAGATCACTTTATCTTCATATAGGTCACCTGTTACATTAGTACAAGTAAGGGAGGGGGTACACGAAAACAAGTTATGTTTGTTTTTCAAAGATGAATGGATGACATTTTCTCCCCAGGCATGCTGGTGGGGAGGGCGGAATGGGGGAAAGGGAGAATGGTTAGGTTTGGGGGAAAAAGCGTCAAAAAGGAGAGGAAACAATTGTGAAGTAACCTTCGTTTGCATTACTCTATCAGAAGTTGATTTTTTAGTAAGATTGCGTATGTCAACGCCAGTTGTATCATTCAAACTGAACACAGGATGATTAAAGTTTGATAATGTTTTTTTTTTGTTTTCCTTAGGGAAAGGACAGTGTTGGGATGGTGGTGTCAGGATGCCTACAATAGCATCATGGCCAGGTCACATTCCAGCTGGGATCTCAATTGATCAGCTCACCA